ACACACACACACACACACACACACACACACACACACACACACACACACACACACACACACACACATTTCTCTCCTCATTTTCATACCTAGACAGAAAGAAAGTAAGGTGGCGGGCGATAAAGATGAACAGAAACAAAGAAAAAGTGGGAAAAAATAAGACGTGTTTGGGTGAGAGAGTAGAAGATGTCAAAGTTGTCAGAGACTTCCAGGCAGTTGGGTTTTGTGTTTGGTTTTTGTGGTGTATACGTGCATCAATATGCAGTGTATGTGTGTGTGAAGAGAAGACACCCTGCGTCTAGCTGAACTCGAGTTCACCTCAGTCTGCACCTAGCCTGCAGAGTTATTGCAAGAACCTCTTTGAAGCTGCTGCCAAATCGCTCCATATTCGTTACCATGGTACTTTTACTTTTAGTATCATGAATTTCTGCAGCACTGCATCATGTTAATATTTAACATTTCCTCTTATTGTTTTAGTGCTGTGTTTTAACTACAAGAACTACTTCAGTGAAGTAATTTGATTTTAGTGAAATGAATTGACACTAAAGTTTTGAATCCCATACAAAATACAGCAAATATAATGCAAAAAGTGCATTTTTTCAGAATGCACAATAGCAGGGCCGTGACAATAGCACACCCAAAAATATTACGGCCTTTATTCTGTTTTTCAGTCTGCACTCCTCCATGTTTTCTGCTGTCACTAATGCCTTGCTCTCTTTGCAGACCTGCTGTCCACCAACAGGTCATCCATCTTCAGCGGTCACCATGGCCACCTCTCTGTTACCGCCGTCTTCCTGGATGAATACCGTGACCGTTTATTCCTGGGCGGGAAAGACGTCCTGTACTCTCTCACGCTGGGACCTGTTAGCAGTGAATCGAAAGAGGTAAAAATGATGTGTTTTATATATTTTTTCTGAGTATGCAGAGCTCTGCTTCGATGATTGATGCACAGTAAAAGTTTTTTTTACTGCACAGTCTACATTTGTCATTTTATTTTGATTTAGGTTGTGGACACTGTGCTTCAAGTGGTTTCACCCTGTAGAAAGATGATTTATGACTTGAAGAGACAGATGGAGGATTTAACATTTTATCAGAATTCCTTCCTTGTACAACATCTGTTTAAGTGTTCTGTTACAAATCAGCTACAAATATGGCAACAGACATTTCATTTAATATTACTGGTATTGCATCAAACTGAAAAGTCTTCCTCCCATCACCCTCAACTCAGTGAGCCTGATTCCACTGGAGTTTTCTTCCTGTTAAAAGGGAGTTCTTTCTTCCCACTGTTGCTAAAGTGCTTATAGGGAGTCATATGATTATTGGGGTTTTCGCTGTTTTCTTTACTTTTACATTACCTTTTGCACTTCTTGTGTTATAAACAGGTATCCTCTAAACTACACTTCATTTCTACCCTTCCCAGTAAAGGAACACCTGTAATAATGCAGCTACCCATAAATCAAACATCCTATTTCTGTCTGCTTTGCTTTTAATTTCAACACCGGTTTGTCATTAAGGTTTGTTAAACACTGTAACAGCAAAGAGAATTGAAAGGTAAATTATAAACCAGGAACCTCACTGCAGATTTATCACAGACTGAGAGTCTGACCAAAACAAAAAGAAGAGATGTTCTATTGCCTTTATCATAATTAAAATTGAAAATTTATCTTTTTTTATATTAAAAGAAAGTATCTAATTCACAGTCTAGATTAAGTTGAGAACAATCACTGATTAGTTTAAGTCAAAAAGACTGAATATGTTAAAAATTATTGAAAAAAAATAAATGCATTTCATACTAGAGTGTAATCTAGATTTTATTAGTATTTATGCTCTGGAACAGTAAATCCATATGGGGTTTTGCTGCGATTTGTGAACTTACAGAGTTATTATACCTTTCAGCTGCATCCTATAAGGTTTCAGACAGTTTTTATTAGAAGAATTTGTCATCAGGGAAATGTGTGAGTTTAGGTTCAAACAGGATATAATTTCATCTAACTGTGTTACTTTGGAGCAAGAATGTACTGCAAATTTGCATCAATATTTAAATTTCCACTAGGATGTCCAGTTTACTCTGTGTTCCATTAAACTGGTTTCTAGTACATAGTGAACAAAAACAACCCTTTCAAACCAAAGTCCCCGGTGTGCTACAGCACTTAGCTAAGAACAGCGGTGCGTGTACATGGGTCAGAGAGACTGATGACATGAAGTGAATGGGTGAATGGGGAATTTAAGTACGCAGGAAGCCAGATGTCGCTCACCGTATCTACCTCTTAATTTTCCATCCCTCTCTCGCATTCTCTCACAGCTCTCTGTCTTGGCTTGTGATCACACACGGTGTTTGCCGACAAAGTGCGCTGTGAGCGGTGTGAGGTTTAACAACCATGTTTCTAAAGGAGCCGGCCATTGTGAGTTCAGTAAAAGAAATTTTTACAAGATTAAAGACATCTGCCAAATCATCCATAAACCAGCACTCGAAGAAAGAAATTTTGTTTAACTTCAACTTTAGTTTGTCCTCACATGAGGGAGCATCGCTAAGAGAAAGTATGCCTAACTCCAGAAGCACAGCATGTCCCGCAGCTTATCCCTTTTTACAACATGATTTTACATCATGCTGTAAAATCACATCCTTCTTAGTTTAGCTAGTCAGTTTAATATGCACCCCTTTCTCATTTAACCTGCCAAATGTTTCCCTCAGCATGCACGAGTGTGCAAAGATCTTCCCAAATATGGTGAAAAAATCCAAAAGTTACAATTAAAAGTTTGGTCTGAATAGTGATCTTACAAATTTTACTAAAATGTGAGAAGAACTCAGTCAACTGCTCCAACAACGAGATTCAAAGAGAGCTATTAGCTGAAACTTGCCGTCTTTCAGCACAGTGTACAGTATTTTCTTAAATCTAAAGAATCCTGGACAAGTGGAGGACCAAAGAAGAAGTTGCAGGCCCAAAAAAGATCTACAGCAGATGAACGGTATGAAAGTCACGCCCTTAACAAAAAGGGAAAAAAATACCTCCAAGGACCTGAAACAGAATATGGGAGCTATGTCTGGCCCATCTGGTGGTCCATCTACTGTTTACTTAAGCCTCATCAGACATGGTCTCAGTGGAAGGGTGGCTGTCAAGAAGTCATTCTTAAGGAAGGGAAACTGGGAGAAAAGGCTGAGGTATGCCAAACTACACAACAGGCAGAGTGAAAATCAGTGCCAGCAGGTCTTATAGAGCGATGAATCCAAATTTGAACGTTTTCGTTCAAGTCATCCTCAGTCGGAGGTCAGGAAAGAGGTACAACAGTAAGTGTCTATAACCATCTGTAAAACATTGTGAAGGCTCTGGCATGGTTTGGGGCTCCATTTCAGTGATTTTGGAGATCTTATCAAAATTGATGGAAATATGAAAACAGAAAAGTGGCATCAGAGTTTGATCCACCATGCAAAACCATTGGGAAACACATTGCCAATGCAGTAAAAGCATACCTGGATAGAAAAACACACAGTGGAACACTACCAGTTAAGGGCCTCCCCAGAGCCCGGACCTCAACAGTGTTGAAGCAGCGTGGGATCATCTTGACAAAGAACAGAACAAAAAGCAGAAACATCCAAAGAAGAGCTTTAAAACTATTCATGAAGACTACCTAAAGAAATTACAAGGAAGACTTTTTCATAGTACTGCATATTGTAGCTTTTCAACTTAATCTTTGCCCATAAAAGTCTACAGTATATATTTGTTATATAATCCCAGTTTGATGCCCTCTATAAATCTGACCAGCAGTGCAGTAATGCGGGGTGATTTAATTCTAAACTCAAGGCTTTAGTCGAATAAAAATCAGATGGCATTAACTCGGTCCATGTTGCATGTGTCAGCCCAGAACTGGCTCCACTACAGTCTGAATCACATCAGGAAAGTGGAAAAATTTCCATAATTATAATTACCAAGGGAAAACTAAAACAAATAATGATTTAGTACATCTAAATGTTTCACGTGATCGAATAAATATTCCACTTGCTCCATGCGAAAAGATAAACACGTTTGATTGGTATTTGATATCCCGTCTTTGAAAAATGTATATGAAATCTTCACTCTTGCTTTTCTGGCTTGAAAATGTGGCTGACTGTCAAAAACATTGTTTTTCAGCAAGTTTAGACAACTGGTTTACTTTGCAGAGTTTTTGGTTACACACTACAGTGTATATTGTGTGTTTCCTTGGAGATTGTGGAGATGGCATCTAACCCAGCTTATTTAGCGTAAGAGTGATCTCTTTGGCCCGAAAAGAGCACAGCGTAAAACGTGATGTGTTGATAAAAGTGGTGGTTGTGTTGACATTTAAATCAGTATTTAAATCTTCTTAGAGAGACGATTTAAATACTGAGCAGGTTTTAAAGGACTCGTAATGTTTTCTTTTAGTATTTAAATCAAGTTTCCATTTACATCTTGCCTTGGCTCTGTGTTGCTATGCAGAGATGTCAGATTATTTTGTGCATAAATGCAAAAAAAAGCTACATACAGCACATAAAACGTGTTGTGTTTGATGAATAAAACAATAAAATGCATACATCTGGCATTTATGGTCTCAAAATTAAGGAGCACTTTAAGACCCTCTTGACTGTGTATATATTAAAAAATGTTGAAACAGACCATAATCAAGCCAAACTTTAGCCTGATCCACAGAATACATTGTTTCCAGTTGATTTCTACCATTGCAAGCCAGCTTGTGGAGTTGTAAATGACAAATGAATCAGCAATAGTGTCCATTTCATACTAAGATTTGTCTCCAACACATTTTTGATTAGGAAGCTGGAAAAGAATTGGATGAAGCGTGTCACCACTCACACGGCTGTGGTGAGAATTCATGTTTCTGCTCAACTAAACAGTTTCCATCTACGTTCAGCTGCAGTGTACACACTGGCTGGATTTGTTTAAACTAAATGAAGCACACTATTTCGGAACAGCTCCAGGAGGTAGTTGGGATAGACGGCTAGTTTACAAAGCGCTAAACCTTCATCTAGGAGACCAAAAAGCTTTCTTTATGGATCCCAGTGCTAAACAATGTGCATCAATTTAGTTTTTCATTATGATAAACATCCATCAACATAATGCTCTTTGATAACAGTGACTTTCGCAGTGGCACTCAGTGCATGTGCACATGCTGTTCATCCACGCGCTGAGCGCAATCAGACATGGTGAAGCAAGTCGGGACCATTTGTTTTCCCCTCCGGTTGCTAACATCCCGCTAAGGCAGTTTCCTGTTAGATCAGACAAAGACTTATTGTCTCAGAGAAACTCGTGGTAGTATACAAACACTATGACTTTACACACCCCACTGAAGCTCAGCTCAAACCGACTTGGGCTTTTCTCTTCAGTGGCAGTGTGAAAACTAGCCCCATTGTTTAAAGTCCAAATTTTACCTCATGCTTCTCTGAGATTCACCTCATTGGATTATCCAATTTGCAGACTGAGAGGAAGACTCTGGGAGTTTCCTAATCTATGCTGTGAGAACTTGTGTTTTATTATAGCTCCAGATGGTGTTGAAATGATACTCTTAAGGTGGCTGAACACTTTTCTCCCTGCTTATCTATAGCCAGAAATCTAATTTCCTGTCTTGGCACAGAAAAAGAAAGTCTTGAAATCTTTCAGACATCTGTGTAGTATGTTAGTGTAGCCTATGTAGAGTACATGCAAGATTTGCTCTTCGGACCAAGCGAATGGAAAATTTCAACCAAAAGACTTACATTGTGGTCTAAAGATTGTTCAGCGCTGTGGAAGTAGAGGAGAGGGACAATGACACACAGAGCATTACATCATTCATCAGAAGCATTTCTTTCCACAAGCCTTTGGCCTTGCATCGTCACTAAGAAGACATTGCTGTTGATCATTATAAATGCGTTTGTTTTACTGTGAGGGGCCTCAAAAGGACCTTCTTTCACTGTCATATCAAAAACTTGGGGAAAATTCAAACCAAATCATCTGCGTGGCTTGAAAGAAAAACTTTATATAGCTCAGTTTTTGATGTTTTTAATTTATTTCTTGTGATAGTTATGATTCAGTGTGTGGCTCTGGCTTCTGGTGTTGGAGTGGAAAGTACATTTTTGCCTTGTCACACACAGGGTTTCAGCTTTACAAGCCAAAAGTTAACGCCTAACATCTTTGGCTGCCCACTGGAAAGCCTTGTTTCATCATTTGTGGATGAGCTGTTCTCCTCAATTTGCTTCTAACTGCTACAAAAGTTGAATTTTTGAGGAAGATAATTTGCATTTAACGACTCAATGACTGATATTTCTGTTCTATCCCACCAAAGTCACTCCAAGAAAAAATGACATTTGGCAGTATGGCTGAGTAAGGCGGTTCTTTGCATTACAGTATTTGATAGTTATGAGGTCATTAATCATCAAACTAATTTTTCTGTGTCCCCGTTTTCTCATAGATCTTCTGGCCTCCATTACCTGGCAACAGAGAAGACTGCATTCAGACAGGGAAGGACCCACAGGTAGCTTTTTAACATTGTTAATATCTGCTTGTTTTAACATGGCTATTTTAATTTTCATTGCAATATGGTGATTTAATGGCAAACTTATTTTTTGTCAAAATGAGCGCTTCAAAAGGCACGACTACATCCAGTGTTTTTTCTGTCTCCTTTGTTTCCACTTTTGTTCTTCAAATGGACACTTGGGGGCGTCTCTGTTGCCTGGCTGGCTTTAAATGGGTGTTGTCAGTTTGGCTACGTCCATCAGCGTGGTTCAAACATACCCAAAGAGCTAGAGTTTAGAGCATTCATGGTCTTGACACTTTCATACCCAGTCCTGCCTCACCTTCCCTTTAATTCCTCTCACGTTTCCATTCTTCAGGGATTACCTGACCTGTGCACGTCTTCCAAGCTGCTGGTTATTCCCTATAAAGTTTTGATGTCCACCTTTAGAGTCTTATCCTTGTTTCCAGAAACTTGGACTCTGACTGTGCATTGCTGCCAAAAATCTCATCAGAACCTCTCCATAAATGTGCCTGAGTTGGCTCATGGTGCTCAGAAGCTCTTTATTCAATAAACTGCCTCCACTATGACAGAGGGATGGCTCTCTCCAGCTTCCCAAGTTTGACTTTAGGCTCCAAATGATTCTGAAGGCTCACGATCCAAATCCTGCATTCAGAGTTCAGTTGGGTTTACATTTTGTTTAGTTTAAAACAAGATTTTATTAGGTTTGAAAACTAGGATGCAAAATATTTACAATGCTTTTCATTAACAGCAGTCCTCAAATGGTGTGTTATGAAGGGAGGAGCAGAGCGTTCCTCTAGGGCTACTAAGTGTGCAGTAAATGGGATAGCTTGACAGTTTGGTGCCATGTTGTGTTGTGCTGACACTGCAGTTTCCTGCCTTAAGGCAAGTCATATTTTGCCTTAAAAGAAAGTAAACTATTAAAAGTAAGCATTTTAATGAGTTAGGAACCAAACAAGTTTCTCTGTATTGAAGTCTACATCAGAGGGAAGTTGAGGGAAAAGATTTTTGTTGTTCATTAGAGCTCTTAATAAAGACTTCAGTGAAGGATGCCAGGGAAGTAGGAATATAGAGAGGTAGGAGGAGAAGGAGGAGGGAAAAACATAGTGATTTACTATCTGGGTGCTGACACAGAAGCCTAAAGCTGGAAGGACATTTCTCATCCACATATATGTGTTTAAACCTATAGTCAACTACCTACAGTCAAGGAAATGTAGCACTCGGGTTTAACATTGGGTTTAAAAATGAAAACATATCAGTATGTTATTAATATTAGGAAAATGTCCATTATGAAATATATTTATTTTGAAAATGATCCTAAACTAAAGCATTATTGCATAAATATAAACATGAAATATGTGACTGAATGTAACACATCTTTAATAAGAAGAGTCAATAAATTTTAACATAGAAAAATGGGATCTCCACAGTCCACAGACATGCAGTTCAAAGGGTTAGATTAGCTGGTGATTTTAGATTGTTCACATTGTGACTGTGAGTGTGAACAGTGGTCTGTCTCTCCGTGTTTCTGCTCAACTAAACATTTGATTTTTTTAGAGAGCGATTAACTCCTTTTTCAAATTAAAAGGAAGGAAGTCATAAGTTACGATGATAGAAGTCATAAACTGGTTTCAGAGCTGATCCTGGCAAAGTTTATTGGATTTAAAAATCTGACTGGCAGCAGGACACATGAGCTGCTAACAATTATCTTTAAATACAAAAGAAAAATGATGACAGAGGAAATTAACAATAATATATCAAACTGAATTTGATTGAAATAAAGAAAAGATTATTTCAAGCAAGAAAGCTTATTATCCAAATGGCATCATGTCATAAGTTCTAAGCAACTTTAGATCAACTCAGTGCTTTTTTGGAAGGAAGGATGTAAGGAAGTAGGAAAGAAAGGACTGGAGGAAGGAAGGAGGCAAGTTTATTAGAGTGTGGTTGATTTAATGAGACATCGTTGCATTTGGTTCCAGTTGGAGAAGCAAATGGTACTGTTGGTTAACACACACACTCAGACACACACAAACACACAAACATACGCCAAAATGAACACATAGTGTAAGAGTTATAAAAGCACAGCAATTTTTGTACCCTTTTGTGCTTATGGCAAGGAGTTTGACAGCCCCTCCATCTGGAAGTGGTTAGATATTATGTGTGTGTCTGTAAGTATGTGTAGTCTCTGTGTTTGAAGTGGCAGGTGTGTCATGGGTGTCTTATATCACCTTTATTAGGTGTTTCCTCTACAGGCCGCTCATACGGTGCTGGATGTGTGTGCGCTACTGTACTCTCTTTAGTGGAGAAGTGATGTCACGATCCATTATTACACAGGTCTGAAAACCAGCTGTGTGAAACTTTACCTTACTGGTACCAAAGGAGCCGTATTGATTGTGTGTTTCCCTACACGGGAAATAAATTGAGATATTTGACAGTTTTTGTTAAACTGCACCGCCACCTTTATGCATTCCTTCACATATCTCCTTTACTGTGTGTTTCTGGGCTTTTTTTGGTGTCAAATGAGATGGATTACTGCGGTGTCCTATATAATCTACAAAGCAAAAGACATACACACTGAACACACACACACACACACATAGGCGCATGTGTTACAACTTATACGGTTATTGTCAGAAAGCGATAAAGGTTGAAAGGTGAAAGGTCTTTGGACTTTAGTGTGTGGCTGTTTGGTGATTTAGGGAGAAAGGTCCAATCACACTGAGGAAAATCAGGTTAAAAATACAGTTCATAATTTATAGAGAATGTATTTTAATCTTTGGAATAATCCTTGTTACACAAAGTAAAAAAAGCAATGAAATGCAGTTTTCCTTCTCAGCACATTGCAGTACAATGAATATCTTCAGCATCCACATCCTGACATCATGACACTGAAACTCGGTGGAAATAAATAAATGTGTTTATCTTATCTCCTTAATGAAAGTCTGTCTCCATACTGTTCTACTGACACGTGCCTACACCTAAAACATGTTGTTACTGATAGTGTTTCCTCCCAGAATCACAACCTCATGGCCTTCACCACCATTAATCACAGCTCACACAAATAAATACCAGGCAGAAGGGAAGGGAGGCGGACAGCAGCTTCTGCTAAACATGTAGTGTCTTGTTTTAAATTTTCCTCCACTTGCCGCTGGGTTGATGATCAAATCAATTCATCGCTGCCAGGAATTGTCACAGTGTTGTTCCTATGGTGCACAAACAAAGCTTTCCAGGGATTAAATCACTGAGATCAAGAACACAGGTGTTAGGATTGCAAAGTTGACATCTGAGCGTGCATATTTGAAGCATGAATTCTTTATGTAGGCTCCAAAAATCAATTGTGCACTCACTGCTCTGCTTTTTTTCTTTAATGGCAGCCCTGATAGTGTCAGTATTCCAACATTTCTTGTAGAAAGACCTGATTATGTCAAGATCCCAAGCATAAAGAATTCTGGGTTTTAAAAAATAAATAAACGTTTGATAAATAATGCGCTCAGACTCCCAAGCTATGATAACATCAAAGCCTTTGGCCTCCAGATTGGAGCTTCTGCAAAAGCTCCTCTCGATTGCGTTTCATTGTTTGTGTTAATATAAATCTCAATAAGATGCACCAAATGTCTGTAACTGTTCAGAATGACTTTTAAGTTCTCCAAGAAGCCACAAAGGTCTCCACACAGGAGTTTCGTGTCTTGACTGAGTGCTTTCATTGCTCAATCGAGAAAAGTCGTTTCTTTGAGGATCAAACAGCAACTGAGACCAAAGACTTGAACACACCATTCAGCTGTCCAGCTTTGAACTGCCTGCACAGTGTTTGTGTGTGTCTGTATTTATGTAGGAGGTTCTGTTCACTGTAGTGTTATACATGCGCATATTTGTGTGCATGTGTGTGCGTGCGTGTGCGTGTGTACAAATGTGTTGGTCCTCACTTCCTGTTAGTATTACAGAATAACAGATTTCTTTCTGTTGAACATTGGCTGTTTATACTGGAAACTGCTCTCCATGTCCAAACCTGCCTCTCCCTACCCGGGTCAGTCATCCTCAAACATATTTGGCTGCTGCTGGAGCTTTCTCTGTGGTTTGCTCCATGTTAGCTGTAGCTTTGTGTTCCAAGGACACGGGTAATTAATGGACCAGTGACCGCAAAATTAAATTTCTCCAATCAGCATCTCACTGGTGCCTCAAACTTCCAAGCAGTCCTCCTCAAATGTGATCCCCTCTTCCAAAATGAGGTATTATTGGCAAAAAAATAACCCTGGACGACCACACAGTGCAGAACTGACCTTCCAGGATTAAACATAATAGCAAAGTACATGCCACAATAAGCCCAGGAGATACATTTCTGATTGCAATTCTATCTTTTAGTTAGTTTAAACATAGTTGGTCTCCATTCACCTTTCTTTGTTTCTTCAACTTCTGTTTTTTTTACTTCAAATTGACTGAAAAATATGTTAAATATAGCAAAATATGTTAAATATAGTATATTGTGCACACTACAAGTAGGAAGGTAGATGTCAAATAAAACTAAGAAAAAAACAAAAAGGTTTCTCTTTCCAGTAGCACCCTGCAAATGTTTCACTGTCACTTTGAAATCTTGTACTATTAATGGAAGTAAACTGCTTTACTCCTGTATGATCCAAATTAATAACCATATTCAGTGGGAAAAGGGGTTTAGTGCTGCAAATTGCAAAGATCTGCCAGAGATTTGGCAGGGATCTTATTTGCTTATGTTAATGATACTTTTGCCTCAGAGCAAAAGATTAAAAGGTCACTGTCTAAAATGCTGTACATTCTTCTTTCCAAATACCAGGTTACGCAAATGTGGTTTCTGTGGGTAATTTCAGATCTTTAAGTGTGGAAGCACTGTTGCTGAGAACACATTTTGGAGGGCGGCAACCTTCTCTTGATAATTAAAGGTTAATACAAGCACATTACATGCTTTTGTTTTCACCATCTTGCCCTAACCATGACTTTTTATGTGGTAAATTTCAGCCCTGGCCGTTGTTACGACTACTCCCCGAGATCTCCCAGTGAGACAAAACCAGATTTAGTAATCAAACATCTTCATTTTCTGTTAAACACCACTCCCTTTATTGCCACTTAATCCCAGTAAGCCCACACAGAACTGTGAAACCAAACGTCCCAGAGTGGGAGAGACATATTTCCTCTTTTCAACATTTCAATTCGCTCTTTTCTCAGGGCCACACAGTTCTTCAGATGACTGCCCGAGTACAAGCACAGAAACGCAGGAGGGGAAGGTTTCTACTCATTTCCAATAGGCTACGTGGACTGTGCTGTTTGTCTTCTTACAACCACAAAATTAAATTTACGTCTTAATTTTGTCCCTTTAGAAGACGATTCCAACAAGCTGGAGATAAATTATAAGCAAGTAAAACAACACTAATTTAGGATAAATAACTGAGGGGACGCGGTGTCCGAAAACCTTTAAAAGCTATGCCAAACTGGCTCAATGATATCCCATCATCCTCACTAGAAACAGAATGTTTGAAATCTAGACGCTTGTACATCGAAAAACCAGTAGTACATTTAGATTTGCTGAAAACATTTTAAATATAAATGCGTTTTCTGTTTTTCACTTGCCTGGTTTTGTTTGAAACACAGAAATTATCCAGTGGAGGAGAGTAATATAATGATGTAAACTGTTTCTCTTAGTGCAGTGACATGGTTTACATCAGGTCTGCAACGAAGCACTCGGGGAAACGATCAGAGGCGGTTTCAGGTCCAAACGCAGCATCGAGAGGGACAGGGGCCAAATGCACAGCATGGCAGATTTACTCGACACATGCACTTGTAAAAACACAAAGACTAGCAAATGCACACATGTGGAGATCAAGATGGCACACGCAGATAGACACACAACACACAAAAACCTTCACCAACACTCTAGTATCTAACTCTCAGTCAAGCACGCTTATGCAGACACAGACACACACACACACTCTAGGCACTGATTGTGCAGATGAATTTGACCTGCGAGTGATCGCTGCCCGATCCTTTCTTTCCTCAGGCTGACACCCGTGTTGTCTGCTGCTTTGTTACACAAAGGAAAGGAAGTAGTCATGCCCTCTGCTTCCTCTGCAGCTCTGTGTATCATAAAAAGGTCTTAATACTCATTTCCTTAGTCACTACTTCTATTGTTCCTGTCATGTGTCACCAATCTCTGTTTTTAGGACCTTTAACTTGAATTTCTTCTGAATTTCCTTCTGTTACAGACTGCCTGATAAAGCAGGAGCAGCTTCTAGTCTTCCTTTCCGATTTGATCTCTTCCTGATTCTATATTTTTTTCTCTTCTCTTTCTTGTTGCTGTTGTCAAAAGTTGAATTTAGATTTATTGCTGAACTCTTCATCTTATCCTCTACATAACCACAAACGTTTTATACCAAACCACCAGAATTATCTACCACATTTTAACACGGGCTCCCAGGATTTTCTTGGGTTTCATGAGTTCCTTTGACCTGAATATGATGAATTTCCTTCTTTATCATCGCTTTGGCGGACATCCAAAAATCACAGATACCACTCCTGGATGGAGGCTATCCCATTTCATCTTTCTCAGGGCTCAGGACAACATTTGGTATCAATAAGCTTGTTGGTTTCTCTTTGGTACCCTCAGCTTGTCTGCAGTTTGTTAACATATTTGAAATACAGATTTTTAACCTGACTGTGTGTTTGTGTGCTTTGCAGACAGAGTGTGCCAACTTTGTTCGCCTGCTGCAGCCCTACAATCGTACGCACCTCCTGGCTTGTGGCACTGGTGCCTTCCAGCCCATGTGTGCCTTCATCTATGTCGGGCACAGAGGAGAGGTAAGAAGGGTTTAAGATGGGCTGCGGGTGGTGGTGATGGTGGTGGCTGTGGGCTGCTACTGCTTCTTATAGAACTCTGGACATCTGCAGATTGTATTGGGCAGCTGATTATCTGACTGCATCCATCATTCAATTCATTCAGAAAATAGAAAAACATGCACTGACAATCAGTTACCTAAATACAGCCACAAACCACTCAAAACACAGACATGCAAACACATATATCAGTTGGGGTTGCTGATGAAAGCTCTGTGGTGTGCAGCTGTCACGGTTATGGGAAACTCCTATTTTAGTGTGAACTGCACTCACTCTGCATTTTTGGGAACTGTAAATTATAAATGCTTATTATGCACTGTGTGTTATTAGCAGTTCGAGCTGCAACTTTAGAAACTCTGAATATATATTTCACATGACAATTTAATAAGAGCCTGACTTCTCACCTCCACATAACTGACCAATCACAGCACTGAATGCTGTAACGCACTCTATAAGAACATCTGGCAGGTTACGCTGAGAACTTTTATTGCTTCTGTCTCTTTTTAAAATACACATACAAAAACACTTTACTGATCGCTAATTTGTTTATATGCACATGCAGCGGGCATGGATCAATATATTTCATTACACTGACCTACATTTCAGCTCTACTTTTTACGTTTTCTTTGACGTCCACTAAAATTCCTCTGCCTGGGGTGCATACGTAGCTGTTGCAATGAAATGTAAAGCCTCAGTGGACGAGTCTGTGGCCACACTAAAATTGGCAGGCATGTGGAGGTCCACCGACCATTTTGCGCACCGTGTGATGATAAAATTTATATCATTTGGGCCCAAGAAGACCCCAGCAGACTCACAAGTGCAGAAAGTATAATCAAGGCTTAAGTCGGACATATAAAGATACAATTGGCCTGAATTTTAATATACAATCAAACCACCAAGCCAAATAGTAAGAGAGTTCAAAAAGATGGGTGTTACTTTCTGCACACTTTTCCATTGGTCATCAAACATATTGTCCAGTGACTCTTAAAATGTTCATTTGAAATTAATTTGTCAATACTAAGTAAATGAACACTGACTAAAGGCCAGTTAATCAAAAATTTACAGTTGACATGATAATGAAAGGTAGGTGGTCTTACTACTTCTCAGTAGAAAAGCATGGCACCATACAAAGGAAATAGTGTATATGTATGAGATGATACAAGGAACGACTGGGTGGCCTCAAAGCTGTGGAGGAAATCAGTCTAATGGAGCAAATGGGGTTGGTGCCAATGTGGCTTTTCAGAAAAACACAGTTCAGACTGACTGGGGTCTGTGCACAGATCCCTGAGGTTCAATGTTAATTCTCTACAGGCAGCTCTACCATGAGTTTTTCTGCAGGCCACTCAGCCGCAGCATTAAACCCTCTATACATCTTTTCAAATGCACAGGCTGACTCTCAGATGCTCAGCTGAGTGGAAACCTCTGCAGACTCTCAGACTTGGAGCCACTTAAAGGACAAGAATGTATGAATGGAGCTATTAAGACAGACTCTCTTTAACGGCACTTGAACAGATCCTTGCCCAGTGTGCTGCCCTGTAGGGCCCAGCAGGAGAGGGTCAGTCTTTAGGGAAGGGGGGAGGTGGATGTTGGCAAAGCGCTCTGTTAGGGAAATGAGACAGTGGGATGGGAGAGTGCCAACCTTGTAGAATGTGTGTTGATTTGTGTGTGTGGCTTGTGTGTGCATATAAAGCACAGGAAGTGCATTTTTCTTTTTCTGTTATGGATTTAGGTGCTCGACACAGCGTGTGTTCTCCTTAGCGGTGTCATTTTCTTCCTCCCCCCTGATCTGTCATCCCGAGTGTGGTTTTTGAACTCTGGGTTTTATGGCACATCATGGAAAATGGAATACATATTTCTCTGTTCATGTTAAATAATTTAGCTCAGAGACAATATACTGTGGTCTGCGTGGCTCAAAACTGGGGAAACAAACACTGGAGATAGAAACAGTTCAGCAGAATCCTTGTTAAGGGTTGCGATGCATTTGGGAGCAGAGCAGAAATGTAGGCCACATGTTTTAAACTGCAGCCTCCTGGGAAGTGCAGGAGTTTCTGCCCCCAGTGCAACTAAGCAACACACTTGAACTCAGCACTTCTTAGTAAGCGGTTATGGGGTTTTTTTCCTGCAGGAATGATTCAGATAGCCAGTTACGAAACTACAGGGACTGTAGGTGTCATTTTTTTTGTTAAAGTGCATTGAATCATCTGTTGCTATCCAGTTTAAGATGATGAAGGTGGTGCACCTGTCTTTGCAATCATTGCTCCTTCTGTTTTATTTGCCCCACGGGATGCACTTTGTGATAGGATAGTTGTGTTTGCACACGTATGTGTGTCTGCCCAGGTGTGTATTTAATGAGCGGAACAGCCTGCAACAGTCGTATGGATGTCAAAAAACAAATCACTTCTTCTCTCCTAAAATATATCATGACGCCAGCTGCTCTCCAGCTTGCGTGTCTGTCTAAAACCACCACTCAGACTACAAGTGTTTCCTGTCAGGTAGTCAACGAGTCCGGCTGAATGGACAGCACCAAAGAGAGCCTGTCCATTTATATAACCAATTGTAAACTGGTGGAGAAAACACACCCATTTGAGTGCTTGACCTCTCCCAGGAACTGAGGCGGCAGGCTCTCAGTTCCTGGACTCTGGGTGGGATGACCTTTGACCTCATAGGTGTTTCATCTCAGTTAGGGGGCACATACATACTCTTTCTATCGCTCCAGTGGCACCCCATTCTCTCCCCCTTCTCTTTTTCTTGGTGCCACTTTGTTGCCTGACTGTCAACAATGTTTTACGCAAAAATTTCAACATGTTGTGAGAAAATATTTGATTCATTTTACAACAGCTGGCTCTCAGTGGAATAAAATGCACTGTCAGACAGTGTTTTGACTAAATCTATTAGTATTGGACATGCTGTTATTGCCTTTTGGTGTTAGCCAAGCCCAACTGTATTTCATACTTTTATTCAAAGATGAAAACAAAGAATTGGATTTGGAAACATTCTGGTCAACGATCCCACCAGTGTAACCTCATGATTGGCCGTGTCAGTAATGTTCATATTTCTTGGAGGTCAGGCGTGTCTTAGACAACATTTAAAAACCACTAAAAGCATTTTTTATGCTCATGTGCAATGAGATTAAGTTTCATCGGGCCATTCAAGAAGAACTCGTGTGTCGCGTTCCTTGCTTCAGAAAAATGACCCATGATTTAGTGAATTATCATCAGTTAAGAGCATCATAATCCCCATTAAATGAACCTCTAATTTTTGTCTTAGGTATGCGTGTCTTTGTCTCCCCCTTCTCTCTCTCCCTTACTCCCCCACACTTAAAGACTAACATAAACTGAAGTCCCCCCCGGTGAGTGACACAGCTTGCCTGGGCAGCGTCATAGATGTGAAAATAAACCAACATGTTACAGTGACGACATAAAGATACAAGACCACACACACACATAGACAGGGGCACACACTTATACGCACACATAGAAGCCATCAAAACAAATAACACCAGCTAAAACATAAATATGTGGACAGGGAGACAGAAACACAAGCAAACATTCAAACATAAAAAAGTTCAATGTATATGTGCAGATACAGGGAGTTAAAGCAAGCTTCATTGATCCTGAAGCTCCATTTTTCAGTTAAAGCTGACTTTTACTTAAGATTTGTGTTTTGTGGAGCTTAAAAAAATAAACTTGCTTAGTAAGGAATTTGCTAAATCATTTCCGCTCACCATCATGGCCTAAAAAGAGTTATTTTTCATGTCCGTTGGGAAAAATAGTAAATGCCTGTCAGCGTAACAGCACTGCAAGTGAACTAAAAAGCTTGAAAGCATGATGAAAAATTGATTCCTTGTAAATCACCTGTTCTAGTCTTCTCATGTGTGTTGCCTTTGGATCAGACTCTTCACTAGAGCTCTTTAAGTGAAAGCTAAATTTACTGCCTGTGATTTTTCTGCTCAATTTGCCCCATTTGTCTCATTTTAATTGGTAGTTTACATCAACTTTAACTGTAATAATTGCTATAATTGTAGGCAATAGCTCTCGTTCCCTCTATCCTTGTGTCTTTATTTTTTTCTGCTTTATCTTCCCCGCTTGTCTTCTAATCTCCCTCCATTCTCAGACTGTTTCTCTTTGGCTGACGAATATTCAGTAATTTTCAAAAGCAAATAAAACCAGAAAAGATAAATTCGAAAACAGAAGAGGAATGAAAGGCAACAAAAGATGAAATGGGAGAGTGTGATTCCCATGCTTACTTCCCCCAGAGGGAGAGTTGAATGGTGAGAGAGAAGCCCAGTCATTATTTGACTGGACAGAGGGGACATAGCCAAGTACAACATGGTGTCACATGAGGTCTGCTAGTTGTCCAAGATGTTTGAAGCGAGACCAAACACTTTTAGACGTTAAGTGTTTTATACAGCTCCGTGTCGCAAAATTTTATCTGATGTTAAATAATAAACCCCGGACAAGTCAAATAAACTTGATGATTCAATGTCCAGGACAGATGATTTTATGTTTTAATGTGGCGTCACTTCTTCAAAACATTTATAACAATCAAGGACAAAATGGGAATTTTTTTTCCCTTTGTTTATCTTAATGGGACAGATGATCTAATTCAAACTGAAAGTCAAAATTTTGTTCCTGTCTGTTATTTTTGCATGCAGCCTATTATTTTATTCCTAGGATTAGGATCAGAATGAAAAATCCCAAAGAGACACTATCCATTCATTTAACTGGTGGAGAAAACACACCCATTTGTGTCGTCAACCTGACAAAGAAAGGATTGTAAAAATATGGGAGGTTGAAGGCGTTCAGTCTGAAATGTCTTGTAAAAGTTAAATGATAAGTAACAGTGTAGATGCAGTCACCAACCTAGAAGTTGAATCAAAATTAAAATCCTCCAAAAGGTTTCAACAGCACACAAACACCGTGAACAGGTCCAGTTTAATCACTTTAAGTAGTGGTGAAGCCTGTGAGATGCTAATTGAGACACTTGTCAATGATTGCATCACAGAAAAATGTCACCCATTTCAGAGTCATTACAAAGGCAGAAACTCTCATAACCACTGAAGCCACAGAACAGAAGGAGCTAAGCGACCTGTGTATGCACTGGAAGATACAGAGATCTATACTATATGAAGAAATGACCAAATCCAGTAGTACAGACCTTTTGTTTAAGCCAGGCTGTAACGATTCCTTTTAATGCTGAAAGTTGGACATTTTAACATGTGAGTTTATGGGGATTTTGGAGCCAGCCTCAAATGGCAAGTAGAGGAACTGCGCTTATTTCAACACATCATTTTTCAGCTTCAGACGTTGCCCCTTGGTTGTAACCAGTAGTTGGTTTCACATTCCCAACAATAAGAGCAATAGAGTTGTTTTTACTAGACAAGTCGGGCCCTATATTTATGAATGCAACTTTGTCATTCATTGAATTCTGGTTTACTGTAGTTGCTGTCAGCAATGAAAACGCACATATCCATATTACTGCTAACATTACTCACAAAATATTAGCCCCCTAAGTGGTCAAACCAACAAAACAGCTGGAACAGAAAACACCTGGATATACTGCTAATAGCAAAGTTGTGTTCACTGTCTTGTGAATCCCAGCACCTCATTTATAAGAAGGTGGGTCAGTCTTTAACATTGAATCTGTAGTCTCTCTTTTAGTCCGCTGATTAAGGGTGAACATTGTTTTCAGTATTAGTTTTAATTTAAAGGTTAAATAATCCGCTGGATGGAGGTTAATGAATAAACTAAATAAATGAAGTTTTCCGCATGTTAAATTACACAAATGGAAGTGTGTGCCTGTGTCAGTAGTCACTTGTCTTGCTGGTCTTGTAGCGGGGGTCCGATGTGTTTTGCTTGGCACAGCTGTGTGTAAAGTGGCCTGGATGTTTCTCTCTCCCTGTATCACGACACTTCTGTGTATTTGTTTTGGCAAAGTATGGGCAAAGTGACTCTGACAGTCTAATCAGCTGAACAGGCAGCTGCGCCATTCCTTTGGATCACAATGAGATAACACAGACGCACACGCACACATGCAAACACCCCGAAAGCCGCACCGACTCGTATTTGCTGCACAAGTGCACAGCGGAAAGACTGCATATAGAAATGCAAAACACACATGCACACTCAAACACACACACACATACGTGCACACATGTGAGTGAAGAGGTGCCGAAAGGATAAGGATGACTAATGAATGAGCTAAACGACCTGTGCATGCATGAGAGGAGACGAAGAGCAGAAAGCAGCTGGAAATGAGAAAAAATGCAACACAGAAAGAGTCAAAGTGGTGGAGGAAAGGGTTTACTGTATGACATAATGAACTAATTAAACAATACATTTACACAAAAGGTTCTGCTCTTTTGCTATAAAGTTATTGACATATGAAAGTTTTTGAATAAAAATCGTCACGGTGTGGATAAAATCAGGTCAAAATGACAAATGAAGCCCTCATAAATCCCACTTGTGTAGTACTGGAAGAATTAAAGAGTTCTATTCTCATACAGGGCAAGACATGAATCAGATTACTTTTAACTTCTCCTCGTAATCTAAAAAACTGATGAAGTGTGAATTCTGTGCATATGCCTGCCCTTCAACACCTTTAAAAGTCATTCAAACCAAAAATCTACATGTAGATTAAATGAAAAAGTTTGTGCATTAAATTTGAAGTGTGAAGAAATTTGACGTGTCCGTGATATTTGGCACTTATTACTGCCCGGGTGACACACTGTGTGTGGGCGTATTTGCTGTCCACTGTGTTTCTTACAGTATTTTTATCAAGCCTACTTCAATGTCATCATCTTCCCTGTGATCTCTGCTCAGTCAAAGCCTCACCCACCTTGTAACAATGCTCCATTGTTTATTACAGGAACAAAGACTGAGACGGACAAAGTTCACTGTAAGGACACTTAAATCAGCAACATGCACTTGCATTAAACCAGAGGTCCTACTGCTGCTCTTGTCACCTTCTATTCCCCTTTTTTTCCCTGGAAGTTGACTGCATTTGGAATTGATCACATGCAGGCGTCTCTGGCAAACACAGACTGGTACACTGGTGTCACTGAAGTGGAAATTCAAAGACAGAAAAACACAAGGCCTTTTGTCCACAATGACCCTTTTTTAAGTGGACACATCACACAATCCAAAGATACAGTATGGCCAGTATTTGTCAGGTGAACTTTACAAAAGGGTAAAGGACAAAGAAGCCTTCTGTGTGAGGCTTTTTTAATTGCTTCCTTACTCCGCTCTGCCAGAGTAAGAAAAGTAGAATTTAAGTGCAGTTTCACGTAAAGTGGACGTCAGCAGGGAATGTGAATTTATGTTAACTTGGCAGGCAAGAACTGGATTATAAAACCTAAAATATATTCTTCACCTGGACGCACTGAAGGACGAACCTGTAAAATCATGTCTCCATCCATTTCTATTCAGCATACTCAAATTATACTGCCAGGTTGGGGGAAAAAATCACTTTACCTGTGTTTAGCTTTAATTTTGACAAAAGCACAGAAAGGTAAGTGACAGCTATGTAAGTGTGGCTCATTTTCAGCATGTCATGAAACCCCCAAAATCCCATCAAACCCCAGGTCATTTGCATCAAATGTGCTCCATCAGATACCTTGGGGTGTTGTCACGGTGCACACACGATGCCTTGCTTCTGCCTATTTGGAGACAGGCTTTGATTTTGACTGAATTAACAGACTTTTTAGCCACACAAAACAAAGGTAAGCAGTAAATCTGTAGTGGGTCAGATAACAAATTGATTTCATCACAAAGTTCAGCCATTGTCCCAACATGCAATATAGAGTGATGTCACATTCATACTTCCTACATTTTTCCAGCACAGACTGTTTTTGGAGTGAGTGAAGGAGCTGATGTGGCTGCAGACTCTTGTCGCCTTGTTTCAGACTATTGTTGGTGGTGCTGAAAACAGCAGTTGCTGTGCAGCAAGATATGCTGCTGTTATGAAAATAAATGAAATAGGAAAGGTTTGAATGAACATGGTGTACTGTTCAGTCTATCATCTGGCCACAGACTCAAAAAACTGTTTATATTTTCATGTCATGAATCTGGCTGCATATTTTTGCTTGTTTTTTCCCTGCAGAGTATGTGTTGACTGAGTTTTATGATCTCAGGATTGAAGCACTTTTTTTTTTTATTGTTGACAAAGTTTGTATTTTAAGTCGATTTAATAAGTGTTTTACGGACTCCCCCCCACACACACACACACACACTTATTACCCTCCTGGCTCTTCGAAATCCACAGCTCTTCGGAATAATCTGCACTGGGAACAGGGTGGGAAATTTCTCTGAACCCTGGCAACTGCTCTGATCCTGCATTTCCTCTTATCTCAGACAGCGCCGTCAGTCTCAGACAGTCGCCGGGTTCGCTGAAAGGACAAATAAATGTAACACCCGATGAAACTAAAACCAGCCCATGGTCTCTTTTATTTGTGTCGACAATGGAACAGAGGGGAAGAACAATGGCCTTTCAGTTATTAAAAAATTAACCCTTTATACAAGATCCAATTTGCTCTGCTATGGAGACATACCTGCTGAGCTTTTCCTCAGAATCAGAAAAAATAAACACTGATACATTATATCAGCTATACTTAAGGAATTAAACACTAACTGAGTGTCTTCCTTCCCCAGCACGTGTTCACAATGGACCCTCTAAATGTGGAAAATGGAAGAGGAAGAGTTCCACATGACCCCAGCTTCCCCTTCGCCAGCACCTTCAGTGGTATGTCCCGTATTGTTTGGCCTACATTTCTAAACAGCTTCCTGAGTGGTTTATGAAGCCATATGGCGAGGGCACCCGTTTAAGATTCATTAGATGTTTTGTCGTACAGCAATAACGCTGACATATTCCAAACATTTAAAACACAGACTGCTCTGGCACGTGTCAATTCCCCTTTTCCTTTTCCTGTTTACTGTCTGCCTCTCTGCTGTCAGAGTAAAGGTAAACATGCCAAAAAAGAGAGAGTAGGTTAAAGACCCAGTAGGGGGTGTTCTAGCCGTCATCATTTTCCGTCAAAGGGGTTGCACAACAAAATATCAATTTCATAAGCCTCTGTGGCACAGCTGTTAATTCATTTGCCGCATCTGACTATTTAACCCCCCACCCCCCGGACAAGGTTGAAAAGTTCTGGGTGTTTCTCTCTAAATGTCACGAGGTATTTACTGGGGCTTGTGAAATAACGCTGATTTATGCCAATGACACACAATCCCAGGATCCACTAAGGGTGGAAATATATATAGTGTGTGTGTGCACGTATACATCCCTTTCTGGCTCCACAGCTGGACGCTTTCAGCATCAGAATTCATCCCTCAGTGCACTGTAATTGGCAGGAAGACCGCAAATTAGAGCCAAATAGTAGTTTGGACATCTGCAGTGATACTGCAGCGGTCACATGCATACAGAAAAAGAGACACAAAAGCATTTGTCACAGAAATAGTAACAGATAGAGACGAAAGCATACTGTACATGCTGGTAGAGGCTCATAATTTGTTAAAGGTTTAGGATTCATCATCAATTTGAATGGTAAAATCTAAAAAATGCAGTCAGCAAATCTCCAGCTCCACTCTGGGTCAGCAAGGATGTGTTTGATGACAGACTGAATTCAGACTCTTGTTACGGGACTGAATTTGACTTTCAGTTTGTCTGCTGGCCTCAGTGATCATTAGTGGTCAAAACCACAAGGTTTTGTTATGCATGTTTTCTTCTTCGCCTTAAAGCTTCTTCTTTTGTATCCCTAAAGCCATAACCAAATACTGAAAGAAAGAAACAACAAATACACATACAGAGCTTCGACCGACACTCTGCAGCCCTGGATGAGAAAGATAAAGAGAAACAGAGACGCTGAGAATGAAACAATAAAAACCTGATGAAAATCCTCTTCATCAGTTACCAACTCAATGATCTCTCCTCCTCAGTTTTAGGATCTTTTCCCAACATGCGCAAACCTCAATTCCCCACGACCTGTCAGCAAGCATTATGTTGTCCGTGCGTTTATATTTGCACGTTTCATTATGTCTTACCACATAGGTTTGACTGCATGGGTGTCTCGCTGTACGGTAAAAAAGTATCTGTGCATTTCTAATACCATTATCATGGCCAAATAAAATAAGAAGAATTAATTTTCACTTTCCACAAGGTCACATGAGAACAGTCTGTCACCAGATTGAGTTTCTACACCAGCTGGGAAAAATTAAAAACAGTTGTGTTTTTGAAAACAACCCAGCTTCACTATGAAAAACTCACTCTTATAATTCTTCATTATGTGATAGTTGCAGTGGGTTGTTTTATAGGCATTTGGGGTCGCTGTCTTGTCTTGTGACCGATAACCTCCAACAGCTGAGGATTTCCCAAAATATATTGTGAAAAATGTGCTGGAAGAGGGATTTTGTTATTTATCTCCATTTGCAAGAATTTTCAGAGTGGCTGAAAGTTAAAGTTGGTCCACTACTGATGGTCTCAATGGAGGATGCTTAAGTTTCAAATTACACTCCCTGTGTGTTCTGTGTTGGGTTTGTTCATTTTCTTCTTTCCTGTCCTGCATCTATGTTCTTCATTTAACTAAACCTCAAACTCACCCATTATTTTTGGCTGCCTTTCCTTTTTTATTTACTAATTACCCTCTTTTTACATTCTTGCAACCATTTTCTGTAAACTCTCCTCTTCTCATCATCTTTTTCCCCCTTCTTTTAAACATTTCCTGTCTCTCTGTAGGTGGGGAGCTGTATACAGGACTGACAGCAGATTTCCTGGGAAGAGACTCTGTGATATTCAGAAGTATGGGTGGTCGCTCCACAATGAGGACAGAGACTGACCAGAAACTCCTTCATGGTAATGTTTCACTCTTTCCCGAGCGTTTCTACAATACAAGACAATGTTAAGTCAACAAGAAGTACAAACAAACAACAGCAAGTCTGTTAGAAATATGCAAAATTTTACTATAAAGATGCTGAAATAAAGATCAAAGTGATTTACTCATACTCCCACATGCGACTCTTTTCTATCTTCAACCTTGCAGATCCCAAGTTCATTGCAGCCCACCTCATCCCGGATAATGATGACAGAGACAATGATAAGGTGTATTTCTTCTTCACTGAGAAGGCCACTGAGGCTGGAGAAACAGAGGGGGCCATACACACACGAGTTGGACGAGTGTGTGCGGTAAGATGCTCCATAATGCTTTTTATATTTGATGTAAATCTTTCCTTTAAGGTTTAGAATTTAAGTTGTAAAAGCCACCTCAATAGAGCTCGTTGTGCACAGACCCAGGCTTTTCACTATGTGTGTGTTTATTATTAATCTCTGTCTCTCTTCCACGGTGGGTTTTTGCCCTATCTTCCTCCCCTCACCCTTAACCGGTTGTGGCAGATGGCCGCCACACCTTCAGCCTGGCTTTGCTGGAGGCTTCTTCCTGCTAACAGGGAGTTTTTCCTTCCCACTGTCATCAAGTGCTTGCTCATAGCGGGGACATTTAAATGTTGGGGTTTTCTATTGGTTATTATTGTACGGCCTTTACCTTAAAATATAAAGTGCTTTGTTGCTGATATTTTAAGATATCTACAACTACACAAGAAACTGCATTATTAGAGGATTGAGCATTGATAAAATACATATAGCATCATGCATGTCGCATCATAATGCCACAGAAAGACAGAGAAACAAAGTTTCATTAACTCAGGAGATCCACAAAAACTGATACTTACATATGCTGAAACACTGAAAGATGGTTTGTTGATAGCTGTGGATGAGAGAAGCCAGATGTTCAGGTGAGCTAGACATGCACTTCCTCGAGGCCATTCAAATATCCTGTCCCCGGAATGGGACATCTGTAGGGATATTTCACTTGAAGATGAGATTGCAAAGGAGCACCAGATGAGTCACGAAAGGTCTCATATTTCGAGTCATTGATAAGCTACAGAAACACTGACCTAGATACTGTACAGCAAAAAGTTTGACTCAAGGGACTATCTGAGTGTATGGCCACATACAGATGTCTGCAGAATTAATTTTCCAGGACAGAAGGTAATGGTTTTATGGGTTTATCCTCCTATTATGTCAGTCATAAACTACCTTGTGGAAAAGACAAATTTCTTTTGGGGCGATCAAATATTTACTTTCCCCAAGGTTGATCGTGAAATTTAGAAGTATATGAAATGTTTCTCCTTCCAAAATGCACACAGCTGTCAGATTTCCCAACAATGATCTCCATCTGCCCTACACGCTCCGTAACATTCTTTCACGCAATGATTTGCCTTATAAACCCATGTCTGTACTGTAACAGCACACGCAAATACAGGCATGCATAAAAGATTACACACAAATACACACAAGCACAAAAACACGCACACAGCTGCTGGGGTTTCCATTGATTTTGATAGACTGTGTCCGTAAAGTTTGGATAAACCACTCAGGCAAAAACCCACTTAAACTTTCACCATCTAACTTTCTTTCTCCTTGTGTTCACCTTTTTCCATCTTTATTTTTTTCTTCCTCATATAAGTAGTATTTCCTTGTCAGGCCTCCAATTCTTTCCAAGACAAATGTCATCCACACTCCTATACTGATTTTTGCAAAAAAGCTTTTTACCAAAGCTGATCACCATTATACGCATTCACACATACACATAAACTGAAGAACTATGAGTAGATCTCTTGCTTGAAAATCCTTATTCGACGCTGAAGCTGAAACTCAGCACTTTCATCATCTTTCACTTCACATCCAGTGAGGTGGTGTAAAGAGCCAAAACAATGAATGATTTGTGTTTGGAAATAAATACGCAGCTGTGCTTTATAGATTGATTTTCTGTATCTTGAGCCAGAATGATGTCGGCGGTCAAAGAGTGCTGGTCAATAAGTGGAGCACCTTTATCAAAGCCAGACTTGTCTGTTCTGTACCAGGACCTCATGGAATCGATACTCACTTCAACCAACTTGGTGAGACACATTCAAGCACACACGCACACATAAGAATTTTCATATGATCCTGCACTTGGTTACAGTGTATCATATCTGCACATATTTATACTCCCACGCACACACTGACACTGTCTTTTGATAAAACAGAGGATGTTTTCCTGATGAGGACCAAGGATGAAAGGAACCCAGATGTCTATGCAATTTTTAGTACCATCAGGTAAACACGCATAGAGCTCAGCTTTAAAAATAATGTGCACTCAACATCTGTACGACTCAGTAACATGATTTTTGGATATGTTATATTCCAACACTGTACATTTTACATTCTCTTCTTTACAGTAATGTATTCCAGGGCTTTGCTGTGTGTGTTTACCGCATGACTGATATCAGAGAAGTTTTCAACGGACCTTTTGCACATAAAGAAGGTCCTGACTACCAATGGGGTGCTTATGAAGGCAGGGTTCCTTATCCAAGACCAGGCGTGGTGAGTGATTGCAATCCAAATGTATCATTTTTAACTTTAAAGTTACTTGAGCATTGTTGCTGCCCAGCATTAACCATCCCAGTGACCCTGCTGTGCTTCCCAAAAACATAATACATGTTATTGATGCCAACATTATGAGCAAATACTCATAACTTCTAATGAAATTCAGAATCTGTCTCTATAATCTGCATAACTAGTGTTGGCAAACCAACTGCAAAGACTTTCTGAATGCAGACACCTCACTTAATTGTTATTGTCAGGTGTGCTTAGGTCTTCATTTTGGGGTTTTTTTTTTGGAATCACCCATTCTTAATGTTGTTATTCACACTGAGTGCATAATTTCAATGGCCGAATTTGCGAACCAAGAAAGATTTTTCTGATTTTTCATATCCAAATAAACAGATCAGACAACTCAGACCACTGCATTTGGCAGCAAGCTATTAAATATACAAATATTAAAATCATAGTATTTTACCCCATCCAGGTCAATTAGTTTGGGTCAAATGAGTCAATGACTCCTCTGCCTCCTCAGATGACGTCCCATCTCTGCCAGCAACAGTTCAAACTGCCCCAAAAACACTTCAGTTGTGATACACCTTCAACTCTGAGATCAAACCTTAAAATTTCCCCTGTTGCTGACTTCTTGTGAGAATTGGATGA